GTTTAATACCAAAGTGCACAGGAAATATTCCCAAACACTTCAAAAATTTTGATAAAAAGTTGACAAAGGCATACAGAGCGAAGATCTGAATCGCATGAAAAGGGAGGGTCAAACTACGCATGCAGGTTAGGATTCCAGATAGAAGAAAAAATCCGGCCGAGGTGATCAAGATCCTAGCAACGGACTCCCAAATCTCTTACGGGATCGCCGCCGTATTTTTCGATAGAATCACAAAAGGGAAACAACCTATCTCTGAGTCTGAGCTTACCCCTCTCAACGCTAGCCGATTCCACATTCTTGCTGTGATGAAACAAAATCACCTTAGCCGCGCTCCTAAAAAAATGATCGGAAAGAGAGAGAAGAGGAACGTCAGCCTTTTTTGTACATATCATCGGGATATTGGACACAAGATGGAGCGTTGCAATGACCAGAAAAATATGAGATCGAAAATTTGATCAAAAAAGGGCACCTGAGACAGTCTTTCGAAGGGATTGGGTTTTAATCGGAGTGACTCCCGCCGTGACAACAGAGGAGATCAACGTCAGGTAGATCGACGGGAGAGGAAGAGGCATAGTTGAGCCCCCGGGGACCCTAGGGAGTATGGAAGACCTCCCTGTTACGGATCTCCTGACTACGGGCCAAATATAGTCAGAGTCATCAATACCATCGAAGGTTGTCCGATGGAAGGAAACAGGCAGAACTCCCGAAAGAGGACCTTCCAACAAGCCAACTTGGATCGGGTCACACCGAGTTCAAGGTTGTTGGAGGTTATCACTTATGGATCTAGCAACCTCGTTCCAACTGCCTCAAGCAATCATGAAACTCTGGTGATAGAAATTTTGACCAATAATTATATTGTGAAGAAAGTGTATGTGGACCCTGACAGTTCGGTAGATGTCATGTACTACCAAACCTTTGAGAGGTTGAAACTTACTAGGGAGCAGCTTACTCCCGTAAGGACTCCTCTCATTGGGTTCGGGGGATATGTCGTTTACCCGGAGGGGATGGTCACTTTGATGGTGACCGTTGGCCGTCACTCCCGCCACCGAACTGTTCATGTCAATTTTGCTGTTGTTAAGGTTGATTCTCCATATAACTTGCAGATAGGTCGCCCACCCTTAATGCTCTGAAGGCTGTGTACTCCACCTATCACCTGAATTTTAAATTTGTAACTCCTGCTGGCATAATTGTAGTGAGCAGCAACGTATGTTCTACACGAGAATGTTACCTTGCCACCATGCAGGCCGCGGCCAATCCAGGAGTCGAACCAAATACCGCGATGAAAAGATCAAACGTTCTCTCTATAGATTGTATTAATGCTCACGAGACCGGGAATCATGGAAGGCTTGAGACCGGAGATGAGATTGAAAAAGTAATTTTAGATACTCAGAAGTCAGGCCAAATTATCCGAGTGGGGACAAGTCTCCTTTCGCCCCTCAAGGAAGAGATGATTAACCTATTCAGAGAACACCAAGATGTCTTCGCCTGGAAAGCCGATGAGGTTGTTGGAGTACTTCAGAGTTCAGAGTTCAGAGGTTGTTAGAGTACTTCAGAAGAAGAAAAATGATAGACGAAAATACTTCAGAGTTCAGTCAATAATTGTAATGGCAACAAAGTTGCAGAACTTCAGAAAAGCATGTTATCTGAGTCTTTTGCTGGTCTTTTACTGTAGTTGCCAGAAAATAGTTTATGTAAACCAGACAAACCACATGGAAAAGCCACTTTTTTGCAGCAAATATTAATTTTCTCTGATTTGAATCCGCATCACATCCACCCATGGCTCAGTTTTGCTTGTTTCTAATTACAGCGATCAACCACTGTACTTTTTCATGAATTTTCTTTTTTGGATGGTTGTCAAATAATTATAAGTAGTACTAAAAAAACTAATTAAGATTGGTTAGAGTCATTTGTATGTAGCAACTAGGCTACAGATTAAGTTTGATTAGGGTCGACTTACGTAGTTTATAGTATACAATTATCATTAGTGAATAGGCCTCTCTTTTGCTCTAAAATGATTTCTTTTTTCCTTATTAGCCAAACCTTTTGACATTCATGGTTTGGCACAAGTAGATAAGTGATTTTCACTAAATTTTGATAATTTAGCCGAGCCTTCAGTAGTTTCTGGACAGATAGAGAGATATATATATAGTAGTCCCTCAGTCAAATTATAAATCTGGTGAATTAGATAATTCCATTTAAGTTTCCCTTTCCTTTCAAAGCAAATGTCATTTTAATTCTCATCTAAATGCACTTTATACCTTTGCTTTTCGACCACGGCCATATTCACTCTCATGGTCTTAATATTTAGCATCAATATTTAGCAAAAACAATAACCAAGTTGCCTTTGTAGCTCGATCATTGGGCTTTCCAGCTGACGAGTTGGATGCATGACGTTGAAATAGTAGTACTACTACTATGGGTCCGGTATACCATGCATATATCTTATATTTATTACTGCATGTTTAGTTGAATCTACCTGCATCCTTAATTTATTCCGGAAAAAAATAAAGAAAGGGTAAGATATATACATCTATGGGGCTATTTCTGCATCTTTAGTTGAATCTGCCTGAATCCTTATTTCGTTCTGGGGAGAAATAAAATTGGGGGGAGAGGGGTTAATATATATATCATGCAGTATATGGCTATTTCGAGCTATTACTGTTCAATCTTATTGCTTTTGTCGCTTTGTTTCGTAGAGCTATTGGTTTGATATGGTACTGTTAATGTATTTCCATTTTGCCATCGTAATGGATTCAAGCTTTTCGTTTCTTTTCTTTTTTCCAGCCTTTCTCTACATATTTTTTTCCATTTTGGTGAAATTTAAAAAGGTGCGAATTACTTTGATGAATCTTCTTCAATTGAAATCCTATGTGTATCGCCAACTATAATTTTCTTCGCTACTTTGACTAACCACTACTGCTTAGCGCAAACTGGCAGACGCAACAATACACGGTACAAATGAATTACAAAAGCGTTAGCGTTTAACATGATGAAACACTGTTGCTCTTTTACGTACCATTCAATATTTATGTACATGCAAAAGATCTTGACAATCCATATCAAACAGCAGGAGACAATAATTCAACTCATTTGAAGATCTCAAGTGCTGAAATTAATACCAGTACTTAAAACATTCACTCAAATATAGATTGACGAAATTATTTGTCTCAATTTATGAAAAAGAAATTTGATGAATTGTGTGGAGATGGCAAACCATCTCTGGGGTTAACTATGCACCTTGAATACGTTATCATTGAGGCCATTTTCGATTTTACTGCCCAGCTAATTAACTTGCCAGCATCGTTCCTAGGAGTACCAAACCAGAAATCACCTCTTCAATTGGTGCCGTCTATGGGAATCGAAGATACTCTTGAAACATGAAATCTACGCGCTCTAGCAGTAGGAGGATTCCCCTCACTGGAGCTGAGCCCAGCTCAGTCGCTCAACAAGATAACATCTCTGAAGAACAAGAGTCTCAAAGGACTGAACCTGCAAACGAAGAAGCCATCGCCCGAATGGCTGAGTTTGTGGCTGAGAATCCGAATATTTTTTAAGAACTGAGAAGGTACTTCAAAAAACAAGGCAAGCAAAAGACCGAATCCTTCAAGAGGAGGTCGGTCAAATCCCCTCTGAGGAGGAATTTAATGACAGACATTCTCTCCGTAGCAACTCTAAACGTGTCTCATCTAAAGCCAAGTCCAAGATTGCTTCTAACTCGAAAGCGTTTTTCCGAAAGCTATTGGGAAAGCAGCCCGAGGAGGCCCTGAGGCGACCTGAAGGTTTGGCCATAGATTACATGAGGGCCCTCACCTTTCACTGATGACATAAATGGAAAAATGATTCTCCTCACCTTCAAGCTTCCGGTCTTGCAGCTATATGATAGATGAGCTGATCTCGAGAACCACTTTCATAATTTTTCTCGGCTTTTCGGTTATACTGCTTCCCCGACTCTATCATTTGTTGATTCTTTCCCGTTTTCTTGCAAGGGACTGCTTGAAAATGGTTTTGAAACCTAGAACCTATGAGCATATCTTCCCTGGGCGAAATTGTGGATAAGTTTATCCACCGTTTTGTATCATCTCGGCCGATGACGAAAATTTCGGCCTACCTTCTAAACAAATAGCAAGTTTTAGAAGAATCCCTGCGATCATATGTGCAGAGATTTCACGAGAAAAATATGCAAATATTTGACCCGAATGAACAGGTAACTATCGCTGCTTTTACAAACGGACTCATGGCCGATGCGTTTAATACCAAAGTGCATTGGAAGTATTCCCGAACACTTCAAAAACTCTGATAAAAAATTGACAAAGGCATACAGAGCGAAGATCTGAATCGCTTGAAAAGGGAGGGTCAAGCTACGCATGCAGGTCAGGATTCTAGGTGGAAGAAAGAATCCAACCAAGGTGATCAAGATCCTAGCAGCGTACTCCCAAATCTCTTACGAGATCGCCGCAGTGTTTTTCAATAGAATCACAAAAGGGAAACAACCTATCCTCGAGCCTGAGCTTATCCCTCTCAACGTTAGCCAATTCCACATTCTTGCTATGATGAAACAAAATCACCTTGGCTGCGCTCCTCAAAAAATGATCGGAAAGAGAGAGAAGAGGAATGCCAGCCTTTTTTGTACATATCATTGGGATATTGGACACAAGATGGAGCGTTGCAATGACCTGAAAAATGAGATTGAAAATTTGATCAAACAAGAGCACCTGAGGCAGTTCGTTCGAAGGGACAGGGGTTTTAACTGTAACGACTCCCGCCGTGACAAGAGAGGAGATCAATATCGAAAAGACCGGCGGGAGCAAAAGTGACATAGCCGAGACCCCAGGGACCCTAGGGAGTATGAAATACCTTCCCGAGACGGATTGCCTGACTAGAGGCCGAATATAGTTGGAGTCATCAATACCATCGAAGGTGATCCGACGGGAGAAAACAGTCAGAACTCCCGAAAGAGAACCTTCCAACAAGTCAACCTGAATCGGGCCGAACCGAGTTCCATGTTGTTGGAGGTCATCATTTATGGACCCAACGACCTTGTTTTGACTGCCTCTAGCAATCATGAAATTTTGGTGATAGAAGTTTTGATCGATAACTATATTGTGAAGAAAGTGTATGTGGAGCCTAACAGTTCGGTAGATGTCATGTATTACCAAAATTTCGAGAAGTTGAAACTTACTAGGGAGCAGTTTACTCCCGTAAGGACTCCTCTCATAGGGTTCGGGGGATATGTCGTTTACCCGGAGGGAATGGTCACTTTGATGGTGACCGTTGGCCGTCACTCCCGTTGCCGAACTATTCCTGTCAATTTTGCTATTGTTAAGGTTGATTCTCCATACAACTTACTGATAGGTCGACCCACGTTTAATCCTCTAAAGGCCGTGTACTCCACCTATCACATAAATTTTCAATTTCCTACTCTGACTGGCATAATTGAAGTGAGCAGCGACGTATGTGCTATACGAGAATGTTACCTTGCCACCATGCACGTCGCGGTCAATCCAGGCGCCGAGCCAAAGACTGGTGGAAAGGTCAAATGTTCTCCTTATAGATTGTATTGATGCTCACGAGACCGAGAATCATGGAAGATTTGAGACCGGAGATGAGGTCGAAAAAGTAATCTTAGATGCTCATAAGCCAGGCCAAGTTGTCCGAGTGGGGACAAGTCTCCTTTCGCCTCTTAAGGAAGAGATGATTGACCTACTCAAAGAACACCGAGATGTCTTCGCCTGGAAAGCCGACGAGGTTGTTGGAGTACTTCAGAGTTCAGAGTTCAGAGGTGGTTGAAGTACTTCAGAAGAAGAAGAAGAAAAGACGAAAAGACTCTAGAGTTAAGAGTTCAGAGGTTATTGGAGTACTTCAAAAGAAGAAGAAGAAAAGACGAAAAGACTTCAAAGTTAAGTCAACAATTGCAATGGCAACAAAGTTGCAGAATTTCAGAAAAGCCTGTTTACTGAGTCTTTTGCTGGTCTTCTACTGTAGCTGTCGGAAAACAATTTATGCAAACCAGACAAACCACAAGAAAAAGTCACTTTTATGCAGCAAATATTAATTTTCTCTGACTTGAGCCCGCATCACATCCACCCATGGCTCAGTTTTTCTTGTTTCCAATTATAGCTATCAGTTATTGTACCTTTTCATGAAATTTTTTTTTGGATGGTTGTCAAATAATTATAAGTAGTACTAATAAAACTAATTAAGATTGGTTAGAGTCATTTGTATGTAGCACCTAGGTTACTGATTAAGTTTGATTAGGGTCGACTTACGTAGTGTATAGTATACAATTATCTTTAGTGAATAGACCTCTCTTTTGCTCTAAAGTGATTTCTTTTTTCATTATTAGCCAAACCTGTTAACATTCATGATTTGGCACAAGTAGGCAAGTAATTTTCACTAAATTTTGATGATTTAGCCGAGCCTTCAGTAGTTTTTGGACAGATAGAGAGAGAGAGATATATATAGTAGTCCCTCGGTCAAACTATAAATCTTGTTAATTAGATAAAGATTGTGACAGGTCCATTTAAGTTTCCCTTTCCTTTCAAAGCAAATGTTATTTTAATTCTCATTCAAAGGCATCTTATATCCATGCTTTTCGATTCCGGCCATATTCACTCTCATGGTTTTAATATTTAGCATCAATTTTTATTTTTTCAGCAACTGTTGATTTTGAGATCTTTTGTAGCATCCGCGGTCAGTTATTGGTGGTGAAAATTTATAGGGTTTATCTAGCAATTCAGAAGAGTGTTGCATAAATGTTGAATTTCTTTCTATTTACTTTACCAAATAGTACCTTATTTGTGGAAACACATGAGACATCTGTAAATACAAAAAAAAATGAAACTAATAGAAGTAGTTTACGGTTTCCGACGGCCTTTTTCTTTTTGTAATTTTTTGAGGTAGATAGAGACGCTTCTGATACACATAACAATTATGAGCATAAATTCAGTTAATCAAATTTAACTAAAATTGGTGAACTGATTTCAACAAAATCCATTTTGATTCGGTTTCAGTATATAATTAACTTTTGAGATTAATTAATTAGTTCGAAAGTGATTTTGAGTTTTCAATCTCTAAAAAGGATTTTGAAGTATGAATTGAAAGTAATTAGCTCGAAGTTGATAAACTTTTGCCAGCCAAAATAATCCTAAAAGTCCAGTATTTGGTTTGGCTATCCAATCCTGTCATGGTCAAGAAAGACACCGGTGGGTGGAGAATGTGTGTGGATTTCAGCGATCTTAACAAGACTTGCCCCAAGGACTACTACCCGTTACTGAGGATAAATGCCCTAGTTGACTCGACAATGGGACATAAGATCTTCTGCTTCCTTGACGCATTCAAGGGATATCACCATATAGGAATGAGCGAGGAGGATCATGAAAAAACGGCATTTTACTCCAATCGAGGAGTCTATTGTTACACCACCATGCCCTTCGATATCAACGGCTGGTAAATCGAATCTTCCACAACTAGATAGGCCAAAATGTTGAGGCTTATGTTAATGATATTTTTCTCAAGAGCGAAACTACCTCGATTTTCCTTTCGGATATGCGAGAGGTTTTGGGGGTTCTCCGAGGTGCTAGGATGATACTAAATCCAAAAAAGTACGTCTTCAACATCATTTCGAAAAAGTTTCTCGGATACCTTGTATCATGCCGAGGCATAGAAGCTAATCCCGACAAGGTAAAATCCATCCAAGACATGTTACCTCCCCGGAACCCCCAAGAAGTCCAGAGATTAACAGGCCGCCTAGCCGCCTTGAACTGGTTCTTGTCTCAATCCGCTAAGAGGGCATTACCCCTTTTCAAAGTGTTAAAGAAGACGAACTAGTTCTCTTGGGTTGAAGAGTGCCAACAAGCTTTTAACCAGATGAAAGACTATTTGCATCATTTTCCTACCCTCACTTCACCACGGGTCGAGGAGAGGCTGTACCTCTACCTGTCCGCGGCTAACGAAGCAGTCAATGCTGTACTAATCCGAGACGAAGGTACTCAAATACCCATCTACTATGTCAGCAGGGTCTTGCGCGGACCGAAAATTCGATACACCCCAGGTGAAGAAACTTGTGCTAGGATTGATGCATGCTGTCCCATGTCTAAAACCTTACTTCTTAGCTCATCTCATATCCGTAAGGACAGATCAACCAATTCGACAGATCCTTCTATGTCCCAAGATTTCAGGGCATCATACCAAATATGTTGTCGAATTGGAAGAATACGATCTGTCGTATGAGTCTCGAATAGCTATCAAAGCGCAAGTTGTGGCAGATTTCTTGGCCGAGCTCACGTTCTTGGTGAGCCAAAACACCATCTCGGATACATCCGATCCGCCAAAATGGACATTATATGTTGACGGGTCTTCCAATAATGATGGTAGCGGAGCAGAGCTGCTCCTTGAAGATCCCCACGGAGAGGCTTGCTCCTATGCCCTGCGGTTTGATTTTTCAGCAACCAATAATAAAGTCGAGTACGAGGTTTTGATTACGGGACTGCAATTAGTCCGCAAACTCGGTGCTCGGCGAATTCAAATTAACAATAACTCCCAACTCGTGGTATGTCAAGTGCTTGGTAAATATGAAGCCAAGGAAGAAACTATGCAACGATACTTCTCTAAAATTCATCAACTTGCTGCTTACTTCGAATCATTTGAAATTCAAAGAATAGGTCGGTCGCAAAACAGGCGGACCAATACCTTGTCTCGGTTGGCCTCCACTTTGTTTTCAGTTCTCAATAAAACGTTCTTGTGAAGGACCTTACCGAGTCGGGGTATTTGGAAGAAAATGCTTACCCTATATATTCGGTGGACGCGTGGATGAGTTCATTCATCCTATTCTTAAGTCAAGGAATTCTTCCCGAAAATCGAGTCGAGGCAAGGAAGATACAATGAAAAACTACTCGATATGCACTTCGGGAAGGAGAATTGTATAAACGATCTTATCTCGGACCCTGGCTATGATGCATCACGACAGAGGAAGGAGAACACGTCCTCCGAGAAATACATGAGGGACTATGTGGAGTCCACGTTGGCTATCAGATGTTGGCTAAAAAGGCCATACTCTTCGAGTACTTTTGGTGTACCATCCGACAAGATGCTCAGATCCTAATCCTTAGTTGCCTTTCATGCCAGCACCATACCCCTGAGTATCATCAACCTACCAACCTCATGGTTCACAACTCCTCGTCTTGGCCCTTCGAGCAATGGAGACAGATTTTATCAGCCCTTTTCCTAAGGCCGTTGGTGGTTATACTTTCTTAGTGATAGCTGTGGATTATTTCATGAAGTGGGTCGAAATCGAGACATTAAGAAGCATAATCGGTCTAACTGTCCAGAAATTCTTCTAAAAATACATAGTTTGCCGTTTCGGAATACCACGAGTAATCATCTCGAACAACGGAAAATAGTTTGTTGAAAATCCGTTCAAAGATTGGTGCAAAAACCTCGGAATCAATCAGCACTTCATTTCGGTAGGTCATTCCCAAACCAATGGACAAGTTGAGAACTTTAACTGAACACTCTTCCATGGCTTCAAGACCAGATTATACCAAGTTGGATCATCCTGGGTCGACGAACTCCCCAGTGTCCTCTGGTCTTATTGGACTATATCGAGCTCAGCCACGCAAGAAACTCTGTCGAAATCCCTATCGAAATCCTTACTCCAAGCCCTTGGATGGCCACATATGTTGCCGAAGAGAACGAAAAAGAACGGAGAACAGACCTCGATTTGATTGAAGAGAAGAGAGACGCTACAGCAGCTCGAGTAGTTTCATACAAATATATCCTGACTAGCTACTACAATGCATGTGTTAAACATCGTCGATTTAGCCCAGGGAACTTGGTTCTAAGAAAAAACTCGGTAAGCCGAGCAGAACCTCAAGGTAAATTAACTCCAAAGCGGTAAGGGCCGTACCGAGTTGTACCGAGTTGTTGAATCTAGTCGATGTAGTTATTATAAGTTTGCTTATCGAGATAGCATTCTTGTGCCGAGAACTTGGCATGTCGAGAATCTCAGATCATACCATTCATGAGAATGTTAAAATGATTTATTGACTTTCGTCTCATTTGATTATTTTTCAAAAGCATTATTACTTGTTATTAAAAAATAAGGGGACAATAGAGTAGTAAGAAGAAGTGAGACAGAAAAGAAGATAACTTCCATTGATATTTAGGCATTACAAGGAATTTACAAGAAAATTTACAAGCATAAGGGTCCGAGGTCAGGAATGCTCCTAAGCATTTCCTGCCTCGGCGTCCCCAGTACTTCCTCCTTCCCCGACAGTCTCTACAGTATCCGCTTCCACTCTGCGGGTCTCTCCCGCCTCGGTGCCCGATTCCTCCTCGGCATCTAGCTCAAACTTGGAAAGCCACCAATTAAATTCCTTTCGCACGTAGGCCAAGTTTTTCCCGGCTTGGATGCTCTCAACAATTCGATCGCAAAGTTCTTTGGCATCCTTGTTGTAACTATTATTGTTCTTGAAAGAATTTAGATCCTCCTAGGACAGAAGGGATGCCACCTCGTTAATTACCGAGGTGTAGCTAAACATAAAATTAGGCAGAATCAACTCAC